CGTGCAAAATTGTTTCTCGTAATCACCCCAAATCGGAGATACAGACTAACGCTACGACAACGTTGGTTCCATTTGTTGGCAGCAAATCGACTCCATAGCCTGCTGCTGATTGGTGGTGGGGGATACAGCTGTAAATAGGTCAAGTTAGCTCCGAGGATCACTTCAAGAGATTTATACTACCTTATAATATGCTCATGGTTTGGTATATTCTCACTTACTTGAATTCACCTCTCAGGATCTTGTCAAGGGGCTTTCTGAAAATTTTTCAGACACGGCCTTGGGCAGACCATTCACGCCCTTCCTTGCAGACTGAATGAGAAGCGATAAGTCACAGCTTATCACTAATTGTCGTAATTGATAATATCTAATGTGAAAAAATCATGGTTAATGCAAATATGACTGTTATGCAATATCCAGAGAGCTGTCGAAATTTTTCGAAATGAAGAAAACAGATTACTTTTTTCAGAATGTAGATAGGAAATGCCTCAGTTGTTTTACACCACACAAATGTGATTCAGGCTATAAAGAAACTACTTTTAAACTAATGCTTACAATGGTACCTTTTGGTATCAGATGTGAACCCTATAATTAGGCTTGTCTGACTTGAGAATTTTACTAGCACCAGAAGAAAGTTCTCTCCGCTCTTGTAAATACCACCTTGCCCAGTCAATGGCTCCTGAACGTATCCATCTAGACACAAACCCTGGATTTCATCCTTCCTCTTAATAAACACGGAGAATATCCATCAGTAGGTACAGGTTTGATTACATCCAATATATGTCTTCAGAACTAGTCATGACAGTTCAGTGGTTTTTCAAATGCTAGTACATTTTATAACTATTTTTTCTCTAACCGTTTTGACGATGGACTAACCATTCTCGGTTATTGCTACCTGCCCTCTTTATGTTCAGCTTCAGTTACACAATTCATTACTTAGGCCATAATAACAAAATGATTGTTTGTTTTCTCGCCCTCACCCGCTTCAAAACAATTTTATTGATATCTTTTTCTTTATACAAATATGTATCACTGTGCATTATATTTATATACATCTGCTAGCAGATCACATTATATGTATCAGCAAAACAATCATCAACATAAACAGTATCTCCACACAAGCACACACCGAGCATTGTAGACACCATCGCTGAATTTGTTTAAAGAGCTCATTAAAATAAGCTACCTACCTACCCAAAACTTTCTGCCTGAGTCGGGTGAGGGGCAACAAATATTTTTTAATTGTGGCCTTATGACGATTGGTAGATATTAGAATTATTGTTTCCTTGCTGATAATACGCAAATTGCTGGGCTTACTGTAGCAGGCAACGACAATGTCCTTTGCCCATCTGGTGTTTTGATGTATCTGAAGTAAACTCTTGGCTAATCGCAGATCCCTTGGTTCTAGCTTGTAAAACAACACTATTCATATACCGATAGGATTCTGTAAAACCTGCCGGCGATGATAATAAACTTCGCGAATATTCCACGTGCACACCAAGGTCAAAGCATAAAAAGACATTAATTCATTTGTCAGGATGGAGTTGTGAGCACAAGTGTGATCGATCTATTTCACATTTCTTCTGGAAAATATGTTGCAGATGAGATGTGCTTACAAAAGCAGCTTTTCTAAGATTAAATGAACAACTTCAGGGTAACAACCTTATGGGAACCTGTACAGTAAGTGTACACTAACATTGTTGTATAGCTAATATTCAACAATATTTTATTTTTATTAAATAAGTTGGTTTATTCCTTAGTTTAAGTGGGGTGTTGTAGGGGTGAGTATTGCGTACCAAAAACCGTATTGCAATACTATTGGCAATACGACCCAAACCGTTATTGCATATTTCCAATACCGTATTGGCGAGTGTTATACCATGCATGACTATAGTATAATTTGATGGTTTTAATATTTCATCATATATTTGTTTATATGACATGATTTAATTTCTTCATGTTTTTCTTGAGAAACAGAACACGCACTGGTTTTTTCCAGCTGACAGTGCAGCCTCTGTGCGTACAATGTCACCCGCTGTACTGACTACCTCTCTCGGAGGCCACTGACGTAGCTTGGAATCACCAATACCCCTGCTGCTAACTTGGTAATTACTGTATACTGAAACTGTAACTGAAACGTGGCTGGGCTCGTTTCGTTGTAG